TCAGTGAGGTTTGGGGTGCTCCTGGATGAACTACCCACCTCCTGGGCCCAGGACTCAGGTACTGTGGCCTCTTGAAGGCCTGTGATGTGAGGAGTGACAGGGCAGGGCACAGGAAGCAAGGGCTCCTGAGCTAGCACCCTCCTGGGAACATGAATATGGGCTTTTCAGTCAAAGGTGGTTTGCCATCTTCTCACCCCAGATCCATAGGGAGGGTGGGGAGCGTCATGCACCTGAGGGTCCCAGGATCTAGAAGTCTACTCCTGTCCCTGGATGCCAGCAGATCACAAGGGCCAAAGCCTGAGAGCTGATTTGTCCAGATCGCAGCAGAGTGGCTGCTACAGGGCGGTCTTGGCTAAAGCCCAGCTTTGTCATCAGAACCTTGTTACCAACATTATGAAGAATACTTATAAACTAGAGGCATTTTTAAAATGTAAACTTGGGGGTTCTGGTGGAAGCTGTGGGGTTTCAGTATTGGGCACCTGGCCCACCACTTTGTTTTGGGGACGCTGGGGTGGGGTGAGACCATTGCAGAAGTCCCCGGACTGTGTCAGCCCACCACTTTCTCTGCCTGGAAAGCTGCTGGAAGCCCTTTACAGGCTGACAGGGCCTCTCTTGAGTGCTCACTCCAGGCCTGCCTGCTCCTCTACCTCTCCACTCCGCCTCCTGCCCTTGCTTGGTTTGCCCTGCAGGGTGATGCCCTCAGGCAGCCACTGGGTGGTGCTCTGAAAACAGGCAGCCATGGAACCCTTGACACTGCTCAGATCTCAGAAACGACTGTGCTGCCCTTACAGTAGTAACCAAGCGCCTCTGCCCCTAGGCACACACAATGTCAGTGTCCCCGCCCCCCTCGCAAGACCACATATGGCCAGGCTTATGGGTTCTCACAGTACATGCACCCATGCAATAATACAGCCGCACAGGCAGTGTCTCCTGTGCTAGGACGGAAGACAGGGCTGTGTGCGGCTCTTAAGATTTGGTTGATGGCTGGGAGGTGACAGGTGTCCAGGCTGGGCTCTGGTGGCAAAGCTGCTGTGAAAGTATAGGTTGTAGACGTCAGCCATATTGAGGAAAGGCCTGTGGTGGGACAAGTGGAATGGGTGGTAGCCACAAGTACATGCCCAGTGGTTGTGCCACTTTATAACCTCCCCTTCCCTCCGTTGTTGCCTGGAGCAGGCTGGGCACATGAGGACTAGAAACTGATGGAGCTGGAGCTGTGCTGTTTCTCGGACTGAGGAGTTTGAAGGGTGTGAGCTGGAGCGTGAGTGCACTCTGTGTCACACCTACAAGGGACCCAGCATGACCTCACTGGCATTCTACACCTGTTCCCCTCATTCCCCTGGGCCCCATCTGCACACCACAGGGCCCATGGCAGCAGGGACTCCTCCAGGACTGCTCCCCAGGTACCCTGCCAGTTCTGGCATCCTTCGGATTTTCCATTGTTCACCACGGGAGGGCACCCTGGCTGACTTGTGTATGGGCTGTGCCTAGCACTGGAGGCTGTTGGAGTGGCCATTGTGGCCTGGTGTTTTAGTTGTCCTTCTCAGGAAGCTGCTGGTGTTTGACTTCTGTCTGTGTGAACAGGCAGGACACTGTGGTTAGCTGCCAGGATGGTGCCCTCCTCTTCTAGGTGGCCTCTGGCCTTTCCAGGTATCACCACTGAGTCCTAGGGCCTGGCAGTCATGTGCCCCAATACTGCTGATGCGTTTTCCTTGCCTTTGTGAATAGGGTTCACCTGATGCATGCTTGATTTTATTTTATTTTTATTTTATTTTTGGGTCCGGTCGTGGGGCCTGAACTCTGGGCCTGCGCACTGTCCCTCAGCTCTTCAGCTCAAGGCTAGTGCTCTACCACTTAAGCCACAGCACCACTCCAGCTTTTTTCTTTTTGCTTATGTGGTGCTGAAGAATCAAACCCAGGGCCTCATGCATGCAACGCAAGGGCTCTACCACTGAGCCACCTTCCCAGCCCTGCATGCTTGATTTTGGTGAGTTGTTTCTCAGTGCCGGAGATGAAACCTAGGGTCCTGTGCATGCTGACCCAGGATTGCACCACCAGTTGTATCCCCATCCTTGTGCACATTCTTGGGGGGCAAAGCCTGTATGCTGCCCTTTAGCATCACGTCATCTGGGACCTGGATGTCACTGCATGCCTTTGCTGACAACAGTGTCTGTTCCTTGATATCCCATGGCCTGATCAGTTCTCACATTAACCATTTGAGCATAAAGACAAGGAGGTAGTTTGCATTGAGCAAGTGTCCCAAGCCCATGCTTTTGTCTCTCAGGGCCTGCCCTCATGAAGCACTGTCCAGCAACACCATGTGCACAGGCACCCACCTTGCAGAGGAGATGGAAATACAGTGGACACTTGTCTTGGGCACTCAGCACTCATGGGGCCAACATCTGAGCCACTGCTTCAGCCATTGCTCGTAGCTCCTATCTGTTATCTCAACTACTTGGGAGGCTGAGATCAAGAAGATAGTTGTTCCAGGCCAGCCCAGGCAAAATAAATTTGCAAGACTCTATTTCAACAGAAAAAGTTGGGCATCATGGTACATGCCTGTCAACCTAGCTCTATGGGAAGTATAAATAAGAAGATTGCAGTCCAGTCACATCCAGAATAAAAAAGTAAGACATCTATCTCAAATAACCAGAACACAAAGGGCTTAGAGTGGTGCTCAAGTGATGGAGCCCCTGCCTAGCAAGCAAGAAGCATTGAGAACAAATCCTAGTGCTATCAAAAAAAAAAAAGTGCAGTAACTTCAATCTGTGTCTTCACAGCATGTTAAGTTACTTGACTAACTAAGGCAAACGCTTAGACATGACTAAGGACAGAGCTGCCTAGACATTATGGCTAGGGACAGAGCATTTAAGGCTGCTCCTGGCTGTGTGTAACAAAAAGCATAGGGTAACCTGTCAGGAGGACCTCAGTCCCTACCTCTTCTCTGCCCCCTAGGACCCCCTGGTCTCTGTGCCTTTGGGAACATGGGCGAGCCATGCCCACTATGCTTCCAATACTTGAGGACTCTTCCAGTGACTTTAACTTCTGGATAGAACGTGTGTGAATATGCTGCCAGACCTGAGGGTCATGGGGTACTGGCGGTGGTATTGCAGTGACCCCATCTCTTTACATGCTGCTTTTAGTGTGCTTAGTGCTGCCCCACCCAGCCTAGTAAGAGGGAGGGTGGATTTCTGTGGGATTCACCTTCCTGTGGATGTGGAAATGGGGCAGCGCCCACACTGGATAAGCCCATGGCGAGGGCTCATATCCATTTGATTTAGAGAAAACCTCAGCCCCTGGGCAGGCAGGGGATCCAGGTTGTAGCTGCTGGGCTCTGGTGACACATGGTCATGGCTGAGGCTGTGCCCCATCCTGCCCTGGCCTGCAGAGGATGCTATGGGGCACCCTTTCCTGACTAAGTGCACCCCAGCAGGCCACCAGAGCCAGTGACATCAGACACAGGGCCAGGCGTGGAGGAGCTTGCTCTGGCCTCAGCCCCACCTGGGCAGGCAGTTGGCACCCATGAGCTCACCCATGACATACCTGCCAGGCCTACGCAGAGCACTTCAAGCTTTGTCAGCAACAGGCACTCCATGAACATGGCTGCTGCTGCCACCTTTGAGGTTCCTACGACCACCTCTGGGCTTTCAAAGAGCCCTCACCCAGAGACATCAGTGGTAGGATTGCCCAGGAATGTCCTGTATAGGATGTGGGAAGGCAGAAGTTTCCAGCAAGGTCTGGGAGGGGCCCCTCAGCCTGATGAGCCACTGGGCATTTAGTATGTGAGTGGTAGGGTTGAGCAGGAGCAGTTGAGGCCAGCTGTGTGCTGGGGAGGGAGCTAGCATTACTGCGCTCTACCTTGTGGGTGCGCGTGGGCAGAATGCAAGGGCCAGAGGCCCTTAGAATGGCCTAGCCTTGAGCTAGGGTGGTCAGCTGGAATCTAGATCCCCAAGCTGAGCCTGGGCTTTGCCAAGAAAACCATGCCTTCAACACTGTGTTTCCCATGTGTTCCTCCAGGCTGCAAATTCTTTATTTTAAATATAAACTTGGGTCTCTTCAGATTAGGTGTCATTCCCAGATAACCACTTGTCCATTCATTCCCTTCTCACATTAGACCAGTGTACCCTTTATGAAGAGGACGGGAAGCTGCATGAGCCCCTTCTCCATTCCCTGGGACCCCCTCAGTCCATCCTCATGGGCCCCAGAGCCCCCAAGAACAGCAGCCTGAGGACTGTATCTCCCTTCAGGGACAAACAGGACTGGGCTAGGATGCCCTTGCCCTCCAGCCTGTGGTAGGCATGGAACCGGTCACGACTTTCTACCGCTGACAGGGAGTTTCCAGGGACATGAGGGGTACTGAGCCCCACGGTCTGTTAATTTGAGAGAATCTCTGTAAATATGACCCATAGAGCCCCTCAAGTGTAGAGGTATATGCGGGGGAAACAGCTTGGTCGATGGCACTTTCTGTGCTAGTTTTCTGCTCTTCATCACACACTCCTCCAAGCATGTACTTAAGAACTGAAGTCAGAAGCTGGGCACGGTATTGCCTGCCTGTGATTTCTGCACCTCAGAGGCTGGTGCAGAAGAAACATGGGTTCCAGACCAGCCTAGGCTATCTAGTGTGACCTTGTCTCAAAAAAACTAATGTTGCTATTGGGTGGTAAGTGATGATGTCTGCCTTTAGCTGGTTGGGGTTCTTTCCAGTACTTTGTTCTTTCACAGTCACAGAACTTTAGGCAGGTGGTCCAGCTACTGGGGCAGAGCCCACAGGTAGAGGACAGATACAAGAACTCAGTGTGCGACTTATTTCTTTCATTTATTCTTGCTTTGTGTTCTGCCCAGGGCTTTTTGAAAAGAACAAGTGTTTGTTGTTTCTTGATCTGTCTGCTGCCATGGCAAGCAGCAGGTTCACTTTTCTACAGTGTTGCATAACCTCTGTGAAGGGAACCCCACATTAAGTTCACCTTTTGGGGTATAAATAATGAAACATGGCAACATGTGGGTTAATGAAAATAAGATCATTCATTTTGACTTCCAATAGCCAGGCAGCGCTAATAACAGAATGAATGGCTCCCCAACATACAGCATCTTCAAATTCCTGGGAAGAACTGAGCACTGAGCATGTGACCATTGGTTCTTCCCTGAACCCTTGGATCTTCTCTGAGAATCCCAGGTCCTCTGTGTGTGTATGTGTGTGTGAATTGGAAATCTGACATGAGCAGGGCAAGAGACATACAAGGCACACTGGATCCCAGGATGAATTCAACCCAGGAAGGTGGTAGCAAGGGCCAAAGATCATTGGGCCATATTGGGGTGTTAGAATAGCCACTGGGGTGGGCAGAAGGCTAGAACCAGTAGGAGGCAAGCAAAAGGAGGGTCTCTGGCCTGGAGGTGGCAGGATGAGGACGCACGACATCAGGAATCTTGCTTGCTTGCTACAGGTGGCTGCCTGCAAAGTGTGTGTGTATGTCTGTGTGTCAGGTGTCTGTGTGTTTCCACTAGAAAGACCTGACTAGGCAGATGGTGGTAAGGTCCTAGGAATCCAGTCCCCCAGTTTGTACCTAAAGTCATGGAGGAATTGCACAGAGCAGAAATGTGACTTGGGCTCCTTCTTGCTTTGTTTGGTGGGGGAAGGAGGAGGTGGTGCCTCTCCTGACTTGTGGTGGGAGCATGCCCTACTTAGGAGCTCCTCCAGGAGTAAAGGTGAAACTAGAATAAGCAAGGAAAAAGGTCCTTTAAGCCAGAACATCACTGCATAAACAGCTTTCTTCATGTGGATCCCAAAAAGCTCAGCTGCGGTTGGCCCCTGGGCCTGCTCACCTGGCCTTGTAGCTCTTTGCAGAGCTATTTCCTCAGCAAACATGGAGATTGCACAGGCTGTAGTCAGGATGCATAGCTAGTGTGTAGGCCACAGCCTTTCCTAGCCCTGCACTTGAGGGGAGGGTGAGCCAGGTAGGCTGCTTTAAGGGTGTAGCAAGATCCTGGCATGCCTTTAAAAACTTACAGTCAGAACCAACTGAGGAAACGGTTGCCTGCTTCAGCCCCATGGATTACAGAGAGGAAAGTGAGCCCTCCAGAACTTGTCCCATGTGGCCCTGAGGCCAGAGTGTCCAGTGTATCTTCATAATTCTTCACACAGCAAACTTCCTCAGGCCTGTCCTAAAGGGATGTAGTTTGCATACAATAAATAAAATGAAAGCAACTGAATTTCCCAAGACAGGAAGAGCAGAGCTGGAGGCCGTTGTATAAGAAAGCCACAGCACTCAGGGCCATGGTCCTTGGGCGGGTGAGCTCAGAGGCAGCCTGTGTTGGGCAGTCAGAAGGAAATGTGTTATAGACAATGTGTGTTGCAGTGTGGGGCTGGGGCTGCACCCCACCATCACCCCAACCGTCTGCAGAGACAGCGGCAGTTGCAAAGGCTAGCTTGAAGCACCTCACATTACTCCAAGGATCATGCAGGGAGATCATCAGAACTGAGGGCTGGGGACTATAGGCTATAACTTAGTCCTGGAGACCTGGAGTCTTCCCACTTTTCACTTTATAATGTTTTACCAAATGTGTGGACAGAAGTCCAGAGAAGTCTCCCTGAGGCATCATTGGCCTGGGGGTTCTAGTCTGAGTTGCTCCAGAGCTGATGTCCACATGCGGTGCCACATCTCTGGCCACCAGTCCCTGGCCAGCTCAGGAGCCAAGCCAAGGGCAGTCCTGCCCTTCTCATCCCTCCAGGCCTCACAAACCAGACCTCTGCCCTGGGGAGGCCCTTTGGCTTTGGTGTTCTGTCAGAAGTCTGATGGTGTTTTCCTTTTCCTTGCGTTTATTTTTCTTTATAGTTGTGTGCACACTTAGAGCATCTTATGTGGAAAGACAGGCGTGTGCTGAGATAAGTGGGCTGCTGTCCTCCGTGCAGGAGGGAAGCAGGTACATGGAGCCAGTGCTCACTGACCATCACTTAGAGCCTGATTGTGTGGCTGCAGCATGCCAAGCCAATGTGCTGTGCCTGCCCTTCATGATACTGTATAGCAGACATCTGCACCCACTGGTTCTGTTTTCCTCATCTTAACATCAGGCATGTCTTTTTATAAAACAGTGAAAGGGGAATCTGCCCTGAAGTACAGGGTACCAATACTGGCTTTGGGTTTTCTTCTCTTCATTTGATGCCACAGGGGCGGAGGTCAGTGCGTTTGGGAAGATATTAGCAAAGAGGCTCACAGCTCCAGGCAGGAGGGTCTGGGAGAGGCACCTGCTGCCTTCCACAGGACCTTGGCCCAAGATCTGTCATTAAGGGGACAACACAGGAAACTTGAAGGAAAACATCCATGTGCTGTTGTCCCTCTGGCACACCCCCCAGGGGAAGCAAGTGTTGCAGCGCTGGGTGGCAAAGTACTCTGCCTGTCATAGGCTCTGTATCCAGACCTGGGCCTGTGGCTGTCCCCTATGCCTGTGCCATCACCTGCTGTATGCCCGAGGGGCCAGGGGAGCAGTGCCGATGCCCACAGTGCATTCGTTTGATCAGCCGCCGCAGTTTGCTGGGGAAGGTCTTGTTGATGTAACGATAGAGAAGGGGCGTTATGGAACTGCTCAGGAAAGCCAAAAACTTGGACAAATCCTTGGCTAAATGCAGGATCCCCAGGTAGTGCCCATCCACAGGCCTCCCTCTCGAGGCCAGCACTGTGTGCCCCAGGAGGCTCAAGTAGTAAGGCGTCCAGAGCCCAAACTGTGTGCACACTGTGGCCACCAGAAGCCTGTGTACTGAGGGGTCCAGCCTGCCTGTATCCTGGTCAAGGGGTGTGGCCTCCTTCCGGACACGCGAGATGAGTGCCAGTGCATACAGCACAGCCAGGCCCGGTACCACATACCCGATGAGCACCAGGATGGCATCAGCAGCCTCTGTGTTCTGCATCTTGGCACACTCAGCAATCCTGGAGGATACATAGCTGCAGATGTAGAAGAGCAGGGAGGAGAAGCTGGTGAGCAGCGCCCCACCCCACACAAAGCCACACACATGCCTCGTGTTATACACGCTGGCCATGTAGGTGCGTGGCAGAGCCCGCTCAATGTAGTAGTCAAGGCTGAGCAGTGCGGTGGAGTACATGGTCACCAGGGAGGCCACATTGAACAGGATCAGCAGCGTCACGTGGGCCTCGCTGCTGAGACTCCACAGCGCCCACCTGGAGTGGGGAGGTCCCAAGAGGTGCACAGGGGCCAGTGCAGCCAGCAGCAGGCCGGCCACGGCCATGTTCACAAAGTAGACATCTGGCATGGTCATGCTGCTCTTGCTGTTCACATTGGCCAGCACCAGCAGGGCATTGTAGCCCAGGCCCACAGGAACGCCTGCCACGAGGTAGAGCAGGGAGAGGACCCAGAGCCCCAGGCGCAGGTCCTGGCATAGCTGTTCTTCACCACGTCCTGTGTCATTGAGGAGGCCACAGCTCCACATGGCGCCTCTGTGGAGAGAGAAACAGTCATACCCTGTCCTCTAGCTCAGTACCACCAGACTCCTGGGACAACTGCCCTGTTTTCTCTGTGCAGGGGAGGGCCCAGGCTCAGAGGCTAAGGGGACCTAGTGGACATGGTGACTCTGGGCTGCTTCTAAAGGACAGCAGAGCCGGGTGACTTGCCAGGGCACCACTGCAGACGCTGCTGTGTCCCGAGCCACACTGGCTGTGACAAGTGCTCACCATCACCCAAACGCAGGACACCTGGCAATTCTGGGGTGTCCCCGCCACCAGCCCCACATAGCAGCCAGTCCTGCTTGGCTCCTACCCTTTGAAGCTGACATCCACTGAGCACCTGGAAGCACACTCCTTGGCACCTGGTAGGACATGGACACAAACATCTGTGGGCAGGTGTGCCTGGCCCAAGGGAATGGTTGTGTGAAGACTCTGGTGCTATACCAGCTAGGCCTGGGCCCATGACCCCCAAGAAGAGCTGCCATGTTGGGAGGAGTGCGTGAAAACAGGAGTCTGCTTGAGGATCCTGCGGGTCCTGCACCAGGGTCAACCATTCTCTTGAGAACTACAGAGTGGCTGTGGCTGCCTGCATCTGCCCATTCTAGGAGTAGCGGCTATAGCATAGATGGTCAGCCCTGGGGCAGCCTGAGCCCCAGGGTCTGGCCTATCTCAGGAAGCACAAGGCAGGGTTACAGACTACATCTGTCCAATGGTCTCGACATACTCCAAGAAGAAACTCACAGTGTAGAGAAAGGATTCCCTCAGATCCCATGTCCAAAAATGTCCAATTCTTTGGAAGGAAACCTTACACTCAGAATGTTAACTTTTAGTGTATTTTATTCTGCTCCCAGAATAAAATACTTGTAGGCAGATGCACAGGAAGCCAACGCTCCTGTTTCCCAAGCTCTGAACAAAGGGAGGAAGCTAGGCTGCAGTGCTGGCGCCACTGCGTCCCCACCCACCGTGTCCTGCGGGTGGGCATGTGTACAGGGTCACACTGCCACTTAGGATCATGGCAGTGAGGACGGACCTCTGGCCACCACCAGACTCCTGCCAGACACATAATCCACAGTGGGGCCCAGTTGGTGTTGGGAAGGGCTGCAGGAAGGAAATGGAGGGTCTGGAGCCAGTAGCTAAAGTCCCATAGCACTGGCAGCTTGGCCAGAGGTCTGCCCCGACATTTCAGGTAAATATGAGGTTCCTGACATCATCCTTAGTCAAGACCACTGGTGCCCAGCAGGAGAGGTGCTTAGCACTGGATCCCATCAGATGCAGGTACCCACTTTCCTTCCTTGGACAAGTGTTTGCACTCAAGTATTGGTCTTTTCCCCTCTGCCCCCATTCCCCAGTGCTTGCTACACAGGCACTCCACCATTTGAACCATGCCCCCAGCCCTCCCAGGTCCTCCAATGCAAGCAAGTGCTGCTCGCCATACTATGCATTTCTTCACTATCTACCTTGGCCAAGAGCATCGCAGGAGATGTGCAACCCAACCCATTCCTGAAATGTGTGGTTGCTAGATGTCTTCTGTCCTTCTATTTATCCTTCTGGAGTGCTTTGCCCAAATCCTGACCACTGGCCCAACCCAGCCATTGGACAGTTTGGTACTCTGGCTCCTGCCCACTGAGCCTTCTGGCTCTGGCCACTGGGGTTAAGCTGAAGCTTGCATTGTGACATTCTTGTCCACCAGACCCCTGTTGGCCTGGTCTTTGCATGGCATCCTAGACCCAAGCTTTGTCAAGGTGTCTCTTCATGTTCTCACTCAGTACCTTCTTCCTCAAGCTAGGAACAGGCTGTGAGAGCCACACATCCCCTTCCAAGGTGGCCCTTCACATCCTGACTGAGACAGTGTCCTCTCTGCTGGCCGCACAGGCTGACCCTGGCCTGACACACTGAGCTCCAGGCAGATCCAGTCCTCTCTCCCTCTCCACTCTATCCCTCTCGCTCAGCATTCCTGTCACTTGACTGGGAAGCTCTGGATGGTGGTTGCTCACTAGCACCGCCTCCTCCCCACAGGCAGCTTCTCCCTGGTGCCTCTATGTGACTCAACTGCCTGTCCTCCCTCTCCCCCCCCCCCCCACCTCTTCCTTACCTTTATCTTAGGTCCCACATTCCTCTGTGCTGGGGGATCCAGACACCATCAGTGGGCAGCATGGCAGGGCTAGGCGGTCTCCGCAGCCCAGAGGCCCTGTGGTGTCCCTGGAAGCCCTGCTGCTCTGCAGCAACTGGCAGCACAGGCTGAGCGTGCGTGAGAGCCGCGTGCTTGTGAAGGCTCGTGCCGTGGAGGCGGCACTTGTTTTCCTCCAGTAAATTACTCACCAAGTTTCTGCCTCCCTTGGCAGGCGCAGCGGCCCCTCCCTATCTATGTTTACTGCCGGTTTCGAGAATGAGAGTTTGGACTTGGACGGTCGGCTGCACATCAAGTCGTTCATATCTCTGGGGGTCCGGGCTCAGGTCTGCTGTGGTGCCTCACACATGTCCCAACCACAAGCATCCTTTGGCTCTGTAGCTGAGTTCTCTTGACCCTTGAGAAAATAAAGCGAATAGACATTTGTCTGCAGCAACTAAGGACAAAATAGTTGGACCTCTCCAAGCCTTTACCATAGAGATTCTGTCCACTTTCACTGCAGGCCTAGGGACAGAACACTTGGAAAATGCAGTATGGCACAAGGCAGGCTTAAAATAGAAGCCCATGTTTCCAGGTTGCCCAAGCTCGTGCACATCAAGTTAAAGAGGACCTGGGAGGGGGGCAGGGGAGGAGGGATAGTTGGAGAAAAACAAAGGAGGGGGTATCAATGCTCAGCAAGAAATGTACTCATTACCTTACTCATGTAACTGTAACCCCTCTGTATAGCATCTTCACAATAAAATTAAAAAAAAAAAAAAAGATTAAAGAGGACCAACCCAGGAGCACAGATGTGAGCCCGAGGCTTGTCCTGCAGATAGCCCTGCCTGGCAGGGCTGCTCTCCCCCGGCACCCTGAACACAGTAGAGGGAGACTGAAGCTGCCAGGACTGCTAATGCCCTGCCACTGAAAATGGAGCAGGAGGAAGGGCTGATGCCTGCCAGCTGGGTGGCCTGGAACTCCAGAGAGTGTCACGTGAAGCAGCATCGGTTTAGAATTCCCCTGGGTGTTCACACTCAGTGTGGCCCAGCCTCTGGTTTGAGATCAATGCCACCGTGTGGGGTGGTCACACCAGACCAGGCCCAGCAGAGGGGCAGCGGCTGTGTTGTGTTGGCAGCTTATTAAAGTGCTGATAAGTTGAGGATCCTTCTGTAGCTAGAGGTAGCTTCTGGGTATTTTTCTATCTGTTCTCAGAACTTTTATTTCAGATGAAGACCCCCAAGCCCAAAGATACTTGTTTTCATCATCAGTCCTAAAAATGACATTGGTTGCTTTGTCTTGACACTGCCCTGCAGGGGTCTTCTAGTCACTGGGGGACTGGGGACCAGCCGCACCTACGGCAAGGGTGTTGGTGAGACCAAGATGGGAAAGGGGAGGACAAGCCAGCAATCCCCTAGAGTAGTGTCCCTGCAGCTGCCCCATGCAGTGCCCCTGGCCAGCAGAGAGCAGAAAGCAGAGCTGGCTGTGTGCTGGGAGGGCGGGCTATGGCCACTGAGCTCAGTCAGTCTGGTCCCTGCCCGTCCTTGCCACCCAGCCATGATGAGTGACACTTCCTCCATTATCACCCGGGAGCCAACTGGGCAGGGAGATCCCATCCTGTTGAGGCCGGCACCAATTCTGCTTCCCCAGCCCCCACCCTGAGATAGAGTGGAACTGCACCCCCATTCCCTGAGATCCTCACTTCTTCCCTATTTGAGGAAGTGGGACAATGACTTGGTTTCCACTCTTCAACACAGGTCACAGGACCTGGGCTGAGCAGCCTTTCCAGTCAGCCAGGCCTTCTGGTAAAATTCCTTCATGAGAATAAAGAGCTCAGAACTAGAGGGTGGGAGATTTGGAGGTTAAGAGAACGTACCACAAAATAGTCTCCTCAGAAGTGGGCTCAGTGGGGCTGGGAATGTGGCTTAGTGATAGAGTGCTTGCCTAGCATGCATGAAGCCCTGGGTTCATTTTCTCAGTTCTACACACATAGAAAGGGTCGGAAGTGGCACCGTGGCTCAAGTGGTAGAGCACTAGCCTTGAGCAAAAGAAGCTCAAGGACAGTGCTCAGGCCCTGAGTTCAAGCCCCAGACTGCCCCCCCCCCCCAAAAAAAAGTGTGCTCAGTGTCTTGACAGTGAAAGCTTGGAGGGGAGGGTGTTCCAGGAATGCCTCACTGCACAAGAACTTGTGCAATCTCCAGCCCCCAGGGGGCGCTGCTCATGAGTTGAGGCCCAGATTCAGCATACAATTTCCAGGGACCCCAGCAGACATATCAGACCATCAGACCATTCCTTGACTTGTTACCTGCAGCCCTAAAGCACTGCCTGTCCAACTCCCCACATGCCTGGAGCCCACAGAAGGAAGGGCCTGCCTCACCTCTTGCAACCTTCCTTAGTCATCTCCTCCCCTTCCTCCTCCTCCCACCAGGACCTGATCCTGTCGCACTGGCTGGTTTGTCCACCTTCCATTCTTGTCCTTGGCTACTCCTATCTCCAAAAACCTCCTCCACGCTTCCGGCAGGACCTGCCACACTTGTAGGTCCCACCCTATCCCCTGTCTGTGCTCACATTCCTCAGACCAGCACCAGGAGCTGTCCTTGTCTCCAGTTCCCTTGCACCCCTCCATTCAGATGAACTTCTCCTCAGTAGGGCCCTTACTTCCTCCCTCACCCCCTTTTCTACTAGCTCAGGGCACAGCCAGCCCCAGGTAGCTTTTCCACCAGCTTCAAGTGGTGACCAGGCTTCAGTCATGCTCTGATCCTGGCACAGCTCTCCTAGAAGACTGAGGACATGGTACACACCCTGTTCCCCTCCTCTCTCATCACTATGGGAGGAAGTATCCACCTTCCCTTGGAATCCCAGCCAATACAGAGCTCAAAGCTGCTCCCTTCTGTGCAGTGAGCTGGGATGTGGTAGGAGGAAGGCACTGTACCACAAGCCAAGGCCCAGCTTTCTCTGGACGGCTGTCCCCTGGGCATGAAGCAGGCCTTGAGTCCCTGTGAGCCAGAAGCAGAGTGAGCCCAGATGTGATGCAGGTGCTGGGATACTGCTTAGGAGGGAGAAGGGTCACAAGACCTCAGACTCTCCAAATGTCCCAGACCATTTTGTTGTTTTCTTCCCAGTAGAATTCATTGAGACTGGGTGCTGGTGGCTCACTCCTGCAGTACTAGCTACTCAGGGCTGAGACCTGGAAAACCAAGGTTCAAAACTGGCCTGGGAAAGATGGCAAGACACCATCTCCAAAATAGCCAACAAAATACTACACTAAAGTGGGAGAGTACTAACCATAAGTTAGAAAGCCAAGTGAAAACACAAGGTCAGAAAAATGAAAGAAAATTCATTGATAGGTGACTCATATGCCCTCTCTTTTTAGAAATCATACTCTTAAAGGGGGAGGCATGGCAGGCAGGCATGGTAGCACACACCTATGACCCCAGCTACCAAAGAGGCAGAGGTAGAAGAATCACTATCTAGGCAGGAGCGCTACTTGAGCAATAACCAAAGCAAAAAGGGACTGAAAGGTTTGCTCAGTTGGTAGAACATCTGCCCTGAGTTCAAACTGCCAGAGTCAAAGAAGGCAACAAGTATTGGCCAGCCTTATGCTGCTGATGATTCATTCCCAGAGGCAGCTGGCACAGCCTTACATACATGGGTACAGTCTCCAAGGTTCCAAGCCTGTGGAGCCCACACAGGTCAGGGAGGAGGAGAGAGGCAGAGGGCTGAATGAAGGCATTGGAGCCAGCTGAGAGTGTGCGTGGAAATGTTCCCCACCGCTTGGCTGGTCCCTGATCCACTCAGAACTGTAGCCTGCCAGGCTCCTTACCCCTTCTGTCTTTGTCCCAGGTACTGCTACAGCAGAAAGAACTGGGCACATACATTCAGAGCTAGGGGTTAGGACTAGGGGGGGGGGGGGGGAGGGAAGGAGGGGAGGGGGCTGGGCAGGGCTGCCCTGCAAAGCCTCCAAGAACATATGGGTGGGGGCAGGGGCCTCTCCACTGAGGGGAGCCTGCTGGAAGCTGGGGGCAGAAGGGGGCAGAATACTGGTGATCCATTTGTGGCTCTGTTCCTGTCCAGGCCTCCCTGCTGACTTGGGGTACCCTCAGGCCATTCTGAGCCTGTCACGGTTCTGTTGGGTAGGCACACAGGAGTGTGCCAAAAAACAGGTTTTGTTTCCCTCTGAGGTACACCAGGGGCGGCCCAGGTAGGTGCCTGCCCTGTGGGGTTGTAAGGACTTAGCTGTTTCCACAGCCTCCCTTGCCCTGTGTCTTCAGCTAGGGCCTTCATGTGTATCCTACTGGAGAGTCACTGTGTTCAGATATCCTTATGGGTGAGAGCTGGACCTGACTTCCTGGAAAGAAGGCTTCAGGTGTCATGTTGGAAGTTGTGGCCTTGGCCCCAGAGGGGCTGTCCCTTCTGTCCCATCCAACTGAGCAGTTGTGGAGTAACTTGAGAAAAGAAAGCTGGTCATGGTAGTTCACACCTGTAGTTGCTTAGGACTTAGGAGGTGGAGGCAAGAAGATCTCAAATTCAAGGCCAGCGTGGGCAAAGTTAATGAGACTCTGTAAATGAAGAATCAAAAGGGCTGGAGGTGTGGCTCAAATGGTAGAACACTTGGATAGCCTGTGTGAGGCCCTAGTCCATACTACTGAAATGAAAAGAAAACCTGTGGGAATGTCTGGTCTCCAGACCAGTAGGGACAGGCAGGACAGGGTCCTTGCTGAGATCAGAACCAACCCAGTGGTCTGGGGAGCTTTCTGCCTTCTTGAAATTTGTAGCAGTGCCCATCCTCCCAAGCTGGGTGGCTGGCTGCTTTGTTCTGAGCCTTGAACAGTTTGGAGATCTTGGGTTTCTTCCTGATTCCTAACAGTAGCCCCACAAGCTTCCCACCTTCCCAGAGGTCATCTTCAAACATCCTCGAAGCACCTGGCCTAGACATCCTGCTACACGCCTGGGTGCAGGCAGAGCCCCTGTGGATCTGTGAGACAATACATCTTGATGCATCTTGGTCTGCAGGGTCTGGGGTCCTAGCAGCTAGGGCACAGTTGTGAACATACTGTTCTGACCTAAGTCAGAACAGTAGGTGTGCCTGGGCCTGGCTGACAGAATGCGACACAGACAGGAGCACAGCAGCTGTTGTCCAACACCCCCCCCCGCCCCCCCTGCCCCCGTCCTCCCACCCCCAGGGCTCCCTGCTCCAACATGAACTTGCAACATGGCCCCACAGTCCTAAAACTGCTTTTTACATACCAACTTGGCCTCTGGAATCAGTTGGCTGCTGGCAGGGGGCTTGTGCCCTGAAGTCTGCCGAGAGCCAGGGCAGTGGCACTGGGAGCCAGGCCCCCTTAGGTTTGCATGCCACTCTTCCTGCTTCAAGCTTTTTTAGGAGGTTGCTGCTAGCTCTGCCTGCTTCCCTGTTTCAGAAAATCCTTATGAGCATGTCAGGAGGATTAAATAAAGCAATTCTCGTGAAGGTGGGCCCTAGAGGGGCAGGCTACCAGCCTCCCTGCTGTCACTAG